GAGAGCTGTACTTTTCTGCATAAGAAAAATACAGCTCTCTGCAAGGGCACTCTCACTTTGTGACATTCCTTTAACCACTTGCCTACCGAGCACTTTTACCCCCTTCCTGCCCAGGCCAAATTTCAGCTTTCAGTGCTCTCGCACTTTGAATCAAACTAAAAAAGACTGAAATTTAAAAAAAAAAAAATAAAAGGTTTTTTTTTTTTTCAGTTTCTGTTATAAAATTTTGTAAATAAGTAATTTTTCATCTTCACTGATGTGAGCTAATGAGGCTGCACTGATGGGCACTGATAAGTGGCACTGATGAGGAGGCACTGATGAGGAGGCACTGATATGTGGCATTGATGGGCTTTGACAGGCATCACTTGTGGGCAATGACAGGCATCACTGATGGGCACTGAAAGGCAGCACTAACATATGGCACTGTTAGGCGGCACTGACTGGAACTGTTAGGTGGCACTGATTGGAACTGTTAGGCAGCACTGACAGGCACTGATAGGCGACACTCACTGGCACTGATATGCAGCACTGAAAGGCAGCTTTGATGAGCACTGATATGTGGCATTGATGTGCACTGGTAGGCATTGATACGTGGCATTGATATGCACTGGTATGTGGCATTGATGGGCACTGACAGGTGGCACTGATGGGGCTACACTGATCATCAGTGCCCTGATGATCAGTGTAGATGTCCCCTCTGAGGAATGCCGATTACCAGCTCTCCTCTCCTCACAAGCTGTCAGTGGGAGGACGACCGATAACTGGCATTTCCTATTAACATGTGATCAGCTGTGATTGGACACAGCTGATCACATGACAGAGCCAACGTCATTGGCTCTTTACAGTGATCGGTGATCCACTGTGTCCCAGGGACACAGCGCACCACCGATCGCCGCGCGCCCCCGGGGGCGCTCATGCGCAGTTAGAGTGGGAGGACATCATATGACGTCTCCCAGAACGAGAGAACCGCCACCTTCCCATCATTACCTTATATGGTGGGAGGCGATTAAGGTTTAGAAAAAAAAAGCCAAAACAGGAAGTGATAGAAAATCCCTCCAAAGTGAAGGAATCTCTGGTTGTCACCACAACTAGTGTTCCCATTGGAAGATTTCCTCTGCCTATTCCTGTTCTATGGACACCCCCAAAATTTGGAGTTTGTTTTACTTTCACTTTTGATGATAATGGAAAGAGTGACTCTCTCTAATGGAGGGGCACAGGCAGCAATAAAAACTTTGCTGGTGTTCAAATCCATCTCCACTCTATCCAACACTAATACATTGCCTTCAGTTATACTGTTATGTTTTGTTTTTTAAAACTGGAGTCAGTATCTGCCCTAAAGAGGAGTGAATTGATTGTTTTGAGGTTCAGCCTAGATCAGGCTCTATATTCTGCAGTGCTACACTTTTCTGTGAAACTGACATATATGCTCAAGGCCTTCACAGATTCCCTGCTTGGTTTGTGTCCCTCGCAGCACAATGATCAATTATCATTGTTTTTGCCACTAGCTTCCCTTTTATTTATTCTGCATTACGGAGAATTAATTAGGCTTTATGATGGCAATACCAGCTAGGTAGAGTCCAAAGGACAGATAGAATGCCAGCAGTCAGGTGAAAAATCAGTTTTGAGTGAGCACTTACAAAGTTACAGCTTCATGATGTTTTATACTCCTATTAAAATGTATCTATCGATTTCTTTCTGGTAGTCTTATTTTAATAATATATAGTTCAGTTCGTTCACAAGCCTGACATGAACTGTAAAACAATACAGCAAACTAGGGGATTCAAAGCAGTCAAACCGCAAATTCCATATTTTTCTCCCCGTCTATTAGAGATCTGTTTAGGCCTTTTCTTTTAGAGACCTGAAATGAACTTAAAAATGTGTCTATTGTTCATTAGCAGCCTTCTTTTTCTATTGTGATAAAACCTTCCATTTGTTCTGTTTTTGTTGAAAAGAACAGCAAAATAAAATCTCTAATGTAGCTGTTGCCAATTAGCCTTATCAGAGGAAAAAATAATATCCTTTTTGACTTGTAGAATGAGTCAGCCAGGCCCCAGGATTGAACAGTTTATTATTGCCTGGCACTTACTTGCAGCACAACGGCAGATAACATTTCTCTTTGCAATGTATTCATTTCAGTTTAAAAACGGAGATTTTGTCATTACTAGTTGATTTGTTAAGTAACTTTGCAGCTTTGGCACTAGAAGGACTGTATCCTTTACATACAGCATTTCTAACAAACTTTTGCAAAAAAACAGGTATTCTTGGTTGGCATATATGCAATACATGTTCAAGGAGGCCAACTGCCTCAGAATGATCCTCCTCTGGCCAGTCTTTACTCCACCTTACAAAATACATTCTTGATCATAACATACTGTAATGGACATAGAGTGCCAATATGACGTGAATTGACACAGTTGAAGGAGAACCAGTGTTCAATGCCAAATGGCATGTCTGTTTATATGACAGAGGGGGTTGTTAATCAGTTTCAGCTGCTTTGGTGTTAAAGAATTAACAACAGGTGCACTAGATGGGAAACAGTGAGATGACCCCCAAAAAGGGAATGGTTTTACAGGTGGAGGCCACTGACATTTTTTCCCCTACTCATCTGACTGTTTTTCACCAGTTTTGCATTTGGCTATGGTTAGTGTCACTACTGGTAGCATGAGGCGATACCTGGACCCTACACAGACAGTCTAACTTCTCCAGGATGACACATCAATACGTACCATTGCCAGAAGGTTTGCTGTGTCTCCCAGCACAGTCTCAAGAGCATGGAGGAGGTTCAAGGAGACAGGCAGTTACTCTAGGAGAGATGGACAGGGCCATAAAAGGTCCTTAACCCATCAGCAGGACAGGTATCTGCTCCTTTGTGCAAAGAGAAACAGGATGAGCACTGCCAGAGCCCTACAAAATTACCTCCAGCAGGCCCTGGTGTGAAAGTCTCTGACCAAACAATCAGAAACAGGCTTCATGAGGGTGGCCTGAGGGCCCGACGTCCTCTAGAGGGCCTTCTGCTCACTGCCCAGCACCATAGAGCTCGATTGGCATTTGCCATTGAATACCAGAATTGGCAGATCTGCCACTGGCACCCTGTGCTTTTCACAGATGAGAGCAGGTTCACCCTGAGGACATGTGACAGATGTGAAAAAGGGTCTGGATAAGCCATGGAGAACATTATACTGCGTGTACCATTGTTCAGTATGACCGTTTTGGTGGTGGGTCAGTGTTAGTCTTGGGAGGCATATCCATAGAGGGACGCACACACCTCTACAGGCTGGACAGTGGCACCCTGACTGCCACTAGGTATTGGGATGAAATCCTTGGACCCATTGTCAGACCCTATGCTGGTGCAATGGGTCCTAGGTTCCTCCTGGTGCACGAAAATGCAAGAGGAATTGATACCATTGAATGGCCCCTATGCTTGCCTGACCTAAATCCAGTAGACCACCTCTGGGATATCATGTTTCAGTCCATCCACCGCCGCCAGGTTGCACCTCAGACTATCCAGGAGCTCAGTAATGCCCTGGTCTAGATCTGGGAGGAAATACCCCAGGACACCATCCGTCGTATCGAACGTTGTCAGGCATGCATACAAGCTCATGGGGGCCATGCAAAACTACTGAGTTGCTGCAATAAAATTTCAGCAAAATGGACTAGCCTGCTGCATCATTTTTTCACTTTGATTTTCCAGCTGTCTTTGAATTCAGTTATCCCTAGGTTAATAATTTTCATTTCCATCAAACAATGGGGCATCTTCAAAATCCCAGCACATTACCCAGTCCATATCAATATAGATAGCCAGCTTGAGATTTTTCCCCATTGAGATCTGATGTGTTTTCAAAGTGTTTCTTTAATTTTTTTTGAGCAGTGTGTGTATGTGTGTATATGTATGTATGTATGTATGTATGTGTGTATATATATATATATATATATATATATATATATATATACACACACACAGTGTGCACAATTATTGGGTACGTTGCATTTTTGAGGATTAATTTCATTATTGAACAACCGTTCTTTTGATCAATCCAAAATGTTAATAAACCTCAAGCCTGAATATTTAAAAAAGTAAAAGTGAGGTTTTGACTGTCTTAGGAGAATATCTATGCGTGCGCAATTATTGGGCATCTACTAGTGTGCAGAATTATTATGCAACTAAATGAAAAATTTAAATGTTCTCATCTCACTTATTTATTTTAATCTGTTAAAGTGAGAATAATAAACAAGCAACTGAAAATTTACAAATAAACATTTCTGACATTTAAAAAAAAAAAACATTCAGTGACCAATATAGTTACCCTTCTTCTCAATAACAGTCATAAGCCTTCCATTCATGAAGTATGTCATTTTCTTCATATGTTAACAATCAACTTTTGTGTAGCAGCAACCAGTAGGTTTGGGAGATGATTTTGAGTCCGTCGTCAACCCGAAAAGTTCCAACTAGCTCATCTTTAATAATACCAGCCCATTCCAGTACCCACCTCCACCTGACTGGCGTCTGAGTCCAAGTGGAGCTCTGTGCTCGTTACTAATCCAGCCACAGACCCATCCATCTGGTCCATCAAGAGTCACTCTTATCTCATCAGTCCATAAAACCTTTAACCACTAGCCTACAAGGCACTTATACCCCCTTCCTGCCCAGGCCAATTTCCAGCTTTCAGCGCTGTGACACTTTGAATGACAATTGCACAGTCATGCAACACTGTACCCATATGGAATATTTATCATTTTTGTGACAGAGAGAGCTTTATTTTGGTGATATTTAATCACCTTTGGGTTTTTTATTTTTTCTTAAACAAACCAAAAACCACTGAAAATTTTGAAAAAAAAAAGTTTTTTCTTAGTTTGTGTTATAAAATTTTGTAAATAAGTGATATTTCTTCTTCACTGATGTGCGCTAATGAGGTTGCAGTGATGAGCACTGGTAGGCTGCACTGATGGACACTTATAGGTGGCACTGATGGGCACTGATGAGGAGGCACTGGTAGGTGGCACTGATGGGCATTGACAGACATCACTGATGGGCACTGATATATGGCACTGATATGCGGAACTGACAGGTGGCACTGACTGGCACTGTTAGGCGGCACTGATAGGCAGCACTGACTGGCACTGATAGGCGGCACTGACTGGTACTGATAAGCGGCACTGACTGGCACTGATAGGTGGCACTGATTGGCAGCACGGATAGGTGGCACTGAATGGCATTGATAGGTGGCACTGATGGGTGACACTGAAAGGCAGCTCAGATGGGCACTGATATGTGGCATTGATGTGGTACTGATGGGCACTGGCAGGTAGCATGGATGAGCACTGAGAGCTGGCACTGATAGACCCTGACAGGTGGCACTGCTGGGGCTACACTGATCATCAGGGCACACTGATCATCAGTGCCCTGATGATCAGTGCACATGTCCCCTCCAAGGAATGCCGATTACCAGCTCTCCTCTCCTCACAAGCTGTCAGCGTGACAGCTCGTGAGGAGAGAAATGCCAATAACCGGCATTTCCCTATTTACATGCGATCAGCTGTGATTGGACACAGCTGATCACATGACCGAGCCGACATGTTCGACTCTTTCCATGGATCGGTGATGCGCTGTCGCGCTGAGAATGGGAGGACGTCGTATGATGTCCTCCCAGAACGAGTGAACCGCCTTGAGTCCATCATTGGACTATATGGCGAGCGGGAGGCGGTTTAAAAAAAAAAAAATCTGTCTTCAGATATTTCTTGGCCCAGTCATAACGTTTCAACTTACGTGTTTTGTTCTGTTGTGGTCGGGTTTCAGCCTCCCTTTCTTTGGTCATGTCTCTGATCATTGAACACCTTGTACGTCTGGGCACTCCAGGTAGGTTGCAGTTCTAGAATATGACAGCACTGGAGGATAATGGGTTCCTTGCAGATTCAAATTTGATTCTTCTCAAATCTTTGGCAGTTAATTTGCATCTTTTTTTCTCAACACGTTTCCTGCGACCCTGCTGACTATATGCAACAAAACGTTTGATGGTCCTGTGATCACGCTCCAATATCTTAACAATTTCAAGAGTTCTGCATTCCTCTGAAAGACTTTTTACAATTTTTGACTTTTCAGAGTTAGTTCAATCCCTTTTTTGGCCATATTGTCTGAGGAAAAGAAGCTACCTTGTGCCGGGACAATGTCATCCAGTGCCCAGGGCAAAGATGGCAAACTGCACCCCCCCACCTCGAGATCGGCCTAATAGTGGTGTAAGGTCTTTAATGTTTGTTCTCTCTCCCCCCCCCTCTCTCTTTCTCGTCAGCCCTTCACATACCCAGTGATGTAACTAGCTTCAGGTGATACACATGGATGAAACAATCCTAATTAAGTTACAGCTGTCTTCTCTTCTCTATAGCTGTTCAAAATCCAGAATAGCTACAGTTTGATTAAGCTTTCAGAAAGCAGGGTGTGGGGAGCTTAAGTTACACAGAGCTCAGTGATGAAAGCTGAGAACCGAATGGAGGGAAGGGACATACCCCTTCACAAAACTCACAGGAACAGAGCTGAGGCCGTCAATCAGACTGTGTGCTGGAGCAAACTTCCCTGTCACCTTTTTACATTTTGGTGTCAGGAAACCTTGTCAGAAATGACTCATACAGATGAAGGAGGCAGCAGACATAAATGACACTTAGTGCTCTGAATTGAGACAAGTACACACTATAGAGAGAGATGCTTTGTTCATATTTCACGTCAGTGGTTTACAACCATTTTATAACTGAAGTTTTCAAATTAAACCTCTGCACACTGCTATATACTGTTATATATTTCTAACAAATGTTTGGAAAAAGGGATTTTTGGTTCACATATATTGCAATACATGTTCAAGCTGACCAATTGCATTAGTGATTCCCCTTTGCCCACTTCCTGCTCTGTAAAATGACAAATACTTACTTGATCATAGAATATTTTAAAGTAATTGTAAACCTCACGCATGAAATACGAACAACGCATATCCGTCTGTAGTGTGTACTTATCAAATTTAAGAGCACTAGGTGACATTTCTGTTCCTCTGCTATCAGCATGAATCACTTCTGGCAAGTTTTCCTGACAGAAAGAAAAACAATGGGACAGGGAAGGAACCTTCAGCAGATTGACAGCCTCAGTTCTGTTCCTGTGAGCTGTGTGGAGGAGGGTGTGTCTCTTCCCTCAATCAGCTGTCAGAGCTCACCTCACTCAGCTCTGCAGTGTTTGATTTCAGCTCTTTGCTACCTGCTTTCTGAAAGCTCAAACAAGCTGTATAAATTCTGACCTTTGAATGGATGTAAAGAAGAGAATACTGCAGATAAACAAGTACATCTTATGTAGGAGTAATAATTTAATCTCTGACTATCACCTGAGGCCACTCACTTCATTGGGTATATGTTAGGGTTTACAACCCTAACATATATCCACTTAAATGAAAATATAGCACCAGAGTATTCCGTTTCCAGAGTGCAGCGTATAGATGTTTCTCTATAGTCCCTTTGCTTGTATACATAATGAACCGAAAATGGTATCTACACTAATATTGTTGGTGTAGAAACAGTATAGATAAAATAGTTACTATATCAAATATTGGAAGATCTTACAGTTAAGCATACCACGTGAGGAAAGCGGACATCACCCACATTAATGATATTCACTTTAGATCTTTAACCATATTTTAAAAATAAATCATTCAGTATGATGCTACTTTTGAGTTGAGTTATTTGGAGTTCAAATGTTTAAATGTGGACCTAGTGGACCAAGTATAATTAATCTGTGCCTACTTCCTAAAGTGAATTTTTACAGATGCTTCATGCATTCTTCTTTTTGGGATGGAAGTTAGTGATTGACCTTCAGATCGATCAAAACTGCCATTTTTTGTTTGATGGGGCTCATATACAAACCAAGCTCATGAGCTGTAAAGTAGAGAAGTAATCAGACATGGACAAGCTTAATGAGTTAGTGATTCATTACAGTGCAAAAAAATCTTTTTATGCCAGTACTATGGATAGCAATTCACTTTCCTTTTCAGCAACATAAGGCTTATGGTGAGACTTGAAATGTAAACATTTAAAATTTTGATAATTTAAAGGCAACCTGGGCTAAGATATTTACATAAGCTGTAAAGGCTAATGTCCAATTAAATTGTTGGTTTCCTGGTTGTACTATATTTCTTTCCCTTAATGTTTTCTTAATCACTGATCTGCATACAATATGAAAATCAGCATTTCTGAATATCACTTGTTGTTCCAAGTCAATGAATATTAGATGCACCAAGCTTCTTCAGAAAACTGATTTTTTTGGGGAGTTTTAATTTCCTATGTCTCCTGCATTGCTGAGAGGTTTCTACCACCAACCGCCATACCACTACAAGACACAGGTACAGGATAAAGTAGTGGCAAAGGTGCTGCAGGGGTACAGGAGATTAACACTGCTGTAAATGTTGGTTTCTGAACAAACTTCATAGCAGTGGCATAACTAGAACCTTCAGGGTCCCGGTGCAAAAAAACATGAAGGGCCCCCTGACACTTGGCTGGGGACCTTCAGTTCGAGCCCGGTGGCGGAACACCAGGGCCTGGTCACAAGTGCGACCTTTATGACTCTGGTAGTTCCACCACTGGTGTCAGTAGTTTTTTTAAAAAAAATTTACCATTTAAACTTTTTTTACAATGTTTTTAGGAGCCCTGTTGGGGGGCTTTGGGGATATATCAAGGGTCTAAACAAGCCTCTGATGTTCCACCTTTCAGGCAAAGAAACTAGGTTAAGAACACAGCCCTCCATCTCCATCTTTGCAACCTCAGCTGCACAGAATATGGATAGGAGTAACCCTGTACAGAGCTTCCCGTTCATTCACAAACTGAAACGTAAACAAATTTTACTATGTTTCAGTTATGAATGGACAGATCACCGATCACTGACTGAACATTTAGAAAAGTAAGGGGTCGGTAAATTACACATGTGCTGGCCCCTTCCCTGCTAGATAGATCCCCCTCAGCAGCTGGTTGCAGAAGGAAAGGGGGGCACCTGGCACTGCTGCAGGGGATGAGGGGGCCCAAGAGAGCATGGGGGGCTGGGAAAGAGCTTAGGGGGGCTGAAGAGCACACGGGACAGCAGAAAAGGGCTATATAGGAGAAGTGGTAGGGGTGGCTGCATATAGAAGAACCGATCTCTCCATGTTCCTCTTCCAGCCACTGAATACAGACTTATCCTCCTCTTCCTCCCACGGGCATTCAGTGGCTGCAGGAGGAACATGGAGAGTTTGTTTCTTCTATATGCAGCCACTCCTCCTAACCAGGCTAACCTTTTTGATTTTAAAATAAGGAGCCATTGAAATGAGAAAAAATCTAATTGAATATCAGTTAATTTTTGGCAACGAATAAGAAGAAAACATGCAACTGTTTTCCTATAACATTATATCATTCTGTTATTTTGAGTGCTTAAAACTTGCATTTGATTATGTAATTTAGCTGTGAAATGCTAGGATCAGAAATGAGCACACAAAAAAAAAACCTAAATACCGATTTCTTTTTCAGTTGGGACATGCTAAGGATGAGAAAATTAAAAAAAAAATTAGGCATTCATGACAGAAGTAAGGACAGGGCCAGTGTGGCCGTTTTAGACAAAGAACATATCACTATCTGTATTTTTAAACAAGGTTTCCTACCACCAGTTCCTTATGTATGCTGTTATTCAATGCATTTAGTATAAGAAAATGTGTTCTATTTAGACTTAATGCATGTATATATTAGAATTGTGAAAATAATTGTTTAAATATAGCTTGGTTTAACTAATGAATAGTAAGGAATGTCCTTCTAAAGTCCGTTTTGTGGGGGGTCTGAACTGAACTTCTGTCCTCAAAAATATATGTAACTAAAAAGAAATGACTGATGCTATCACTACATTTGGAAGCAATTTTTGGAATGAAAACAAGGATTTTGCTTGATGGGAAAGACCTTCTGAGGTCTTTACCCGGAAAAAGGCTATGGGCAGGACTGATGTATGAATGAATCAGTCAACACAGTTGTGTTTTTAATTATATAAAGCTATTTGTGACCATGTACAAAATGTTCTATTGATGAATATAGTAGAAAACAGAGTGTTAGTGAAAACTTCTCTAAAATTCAATTATCTAAACAAAGGAAAAACATCGTAAACCAAATAATAAATAGACTGAGACATCAAATTGTTGCAAAATAGGTCAGAAATATTTTTTTTTTAGAGTGGGACATGTAAGGTCACAATGCCATGTTGAGTAGACAACATCCATTTTTAGATTACTAACCCAGCAACAGAAAAACTGAGAAACAAAAAAATAATCTGACATGAATATAGTATGGGAGTAAATGTTGAATTAGGTTTGGTATTTTTTTGGCATTCTCTCTGAGTGTTCCAGAATTCACAATATGTATTCATAAAAAAAAACTATAGCCT